GAACAGCTTTGCAAGAGATCTTCGAAAGTACAGGCAATCGAAACTTTTGAAGGCAGCACAAGGAAGGTGAAGTGTGAAGAAGTACCGCAGGGACCTTCTCGACTACCGTGTTCCGTTGGCAACATTACTAAACGAAGACGGGACTCGCACATCTTTCCGACAAAAGATGGAATTGATCACGAAGAGATTCTACACCACTCTTTCGTTCGTCAACACCCGTGTCAAACCTTGTTATTTCCACTGGTAATGTATCACCACGCGTTCTACATATTGAATTACGCACCGCAATCCAGAAAGTGAAGGCAGCCACGGCTCCGGAGTAACCACTTTCGGCCGACTTACGAGCTGGAGGATATCGCCCAACAGGACATTGCGGAGCATCTACCTCTTACATACAAAAGGAAAGGATCCCCGATCAGTGGAGAATTTTCCGAACAATCCTTTTTTATGAGAAGGGTGATAGGGCAGATCTTGGGAACTACCGTCCAATATGCCTGCTGAGCTGTGTTTTACAAGCTCTTCACAAAGTCTTCTCATTCGCATATCAAAGACACTGGATGAAGCCTAACCTGTAGAACAAGCTGGATTTCGCAAGGGATTCAGCTGCGTGGATCAAATCCAGACAGTTTCGAGGATAATCGAGGTTTGCCGAGAGTACCGCCTACCTCTCGTCCTAACTTTCGTCGACTATTAGAAAGCATTTGACACCGTCGAGACTAATGCCATACTGTCAGCTCTCGTTGACCAAGGGGTGGACCCCTCATACTGCTACAAGAACTGCTTCAGTACAGCGGGTACAGCTTTTCCGTCGTTCCCTTAACAAGTTTCGAAGGGGATTCAACAAGGCGCACCGTGTCGCCAAAGCTGTTTACCGCCGCCTCGCATTGGATGATGAAATCACTGGATTTAAACGAGAGAAGTATACTAGTTGGAAGGGAAATTTCTCTCAAACCTTCGTTTTGCGGACGACATTGTTGTCTTCTCCAACAATATCACTGAAGCGGAGACGATGTTGAAAGAACTGAACGAAGTAGGGAAGCGGATAGAACTGTCAGTCAACCGGAAAAAGACTCAGTTTATGAAGAACGCTTGCGAGGATCAGGAAATGGAATTAGAAGGCTCTCCAATCGCGGAGACGTTTTCTTACGTACATCGCGGATGTTAGATGAACATGGAGAACGATTTGAAAGAGGAACCAAACAGAAGACAAAGAGCAGCTTAGGTCGCTTTCGGGCCCCTAAAGCAAGCCACAGACTAGCTGACGGACCCAGAGCTCCGAGCTCCCTGTTCAATTCAACTGTTCTTCCTGCGCTCTGCTAGGCAGCAGAGACGTGGCCTGACACTATTGCTACGTCAAAGGCCCTTCGAACACCCACAGAGCGCTGGAACGACATCTTCTGAAGTACGACCGACACACCCAACATATTGTCAGGCTTCGCAGTTCAGACGTAAGATCGGCTCGTTTTCTTATATTATTATACTTTTTTATACATACTTTACTTATTAATATACATTTTCAAGAGAAAACGATGGGCTGATCATATAATGAGAAGGACAGACGACAGATGGACGCTACGAACTTTGGAATGGATACCTTGCGAAGCAAAA